ATTTTTGCTCCTTCCATGCTTCTGTCCCATCCTCAGGAATTCCCTCCAGGTCCAAATCCCACCCTGGTCCCATTTTTGCTCCCTCCAAATTCCTGTCCCATCCCCAGGAGTTCTCTCCAGACCAAATCCCACCCTGTCCCCATTTCTGCCCCCTCCACCTTCCCCTCTCCCGTTCAGTCAGAGCTGGAACGTGGCCACCTGGCACTGCTTTCCTGCCCTCCCCTGTCCCAGAACGGAGCAGGGATCCCCAAAAACCCCTGGAAAAACGGGGCAGGACGCTCCAGGCCGAAGCAGCCATTCCCTGCTCTGGCGGCCGGGGGAGGCGCCGCTCCCTGCCGCGGCTTTGCGCCCGTCCCATCCCCAAGCTGGAACGTGGATCCCCGAGTCCGGCGACATTCCCGGTGTCCCAAAGCTGGCCCGGCCTGTGCGCTGCCCCTGGGGCAGGGAGGGCAGCGGCCAGGTCCGCAGCGATGCCCGGGCCGGCTCTTCCCGCAGCGCATCCCAGGAAGGAGCAGTTAAAAGGTTTTGCAAAGCGCTTTCCCATCAGGCCGGGCTGCGTAAAAGCCCTGACGGGAATTTTGCCCTTCCCTCCGTCCTGCAGGAAAGGCTGCGGTTCCCAAAAGCAGGGATTGGAGCTGTCGGCTGCTTTCCTTCCCCATTTTCCACCTGGGACCGGAGGGAAGCTCCAGCTGCTCACTCAGAACCAGCACAGGCGTGGGGAGAAGAACTAGGGGGGTCCCACTGCGGGGATCCCACCCCAGGAGCTCGGCGAGACCCCACAGAAGATGTGAGAGCAGCCTGAGCCATCTCAGCTCTGCCTCACCCCGAGATCCCAGCAAGGCGCAGCCCCGGGGCTCATCCGGAGTTTCTCATCCTCCCCCCGAGCCGCTCTGGCGATGAGCAGAGCTGCGTGTTCTCTGCTTCTCTCCCATCTCATCTCATCTCATCTTCTCTCGGCTCTGCCGCCCCAGCCCTTCCCGGCTCCTTCCGAAGGGCACAGCCTCGTGGGACCACCAACATCCTCACCCAGCGGGCTCTGCCACCCAGCCCCGCTGGGATTTCCTCCATCCCTCTTCTCCCGGCTCCCTTCTCCCCATCCCTGCGCTCCCGGGGTGCCCACCATGCCCAGCTTTTCCCTGGCTCCCTTCTCCCCATCCCTGCCCTCTCGGGGTGCCTGCTGTGCCCCAGGCAGCTCCCTGCCATGCCCAGCTTTTCCCTGGCTCCCTTCTCCCCATCCCCGCGCTCCTGGGATGCCCTGCCATGCCCAGCTTTTCCCTGGATCCCGGGGTGCCCGCCGTGCCCTGGGGAGCTCCGCGCCATGCCCAGCTTTTCCCTGGCTCCCATCCCTGTGCTCCCGGGGCGCCCACCATGCCCAGCTTTTCCCTGGCTCCCTTCTCCCCATCCCTGCCCTCTCGGGGTGCCCGCTGTGCCCCAGGCAGCTCCCTGCCATGCCCAGCTTTTCCCTGGATCCCGGGGTGCCTGCCGTGCCCTGGGGAGCTCCGCGCCATGCCCAGCTTTTCCCTGGCTCCCATCCCTGTGCTCCCGGGGTGCCCGCCGTGCCCCGGGGGAGTTCCCTGCCATGCCCAGCTTTTCCCTGGCTCCCTTCCCCCCATCCCTGCCCTCCCGGGGTGCCCTGCCATGCCCAGCTCTTCCCGAGCCGCATTAGCAGGGATAATCCATGCCACAAAAGCCCGGCGATGCCGATGCCCGGCAGCGCACAGACGTGCTTTTCGGAGCCACGCTCCCGAAAGGAAAGATCCTGGCACTCAACCATTCCCCAGCGCCTCGGGGGGGAAAAAAAACCCCTTTTGGTTTGGGAATGGAGCTGCCGGGCTGGCGCCTAGGGATCCCAAAAGCTTTTCTCAGAGCTGTGCTGCCGGTATCCCTGCTCCCAGTTGGAATTGCTCCCCAAACACCCGCTCGGCCGGCAAGGAAAGGAACCCCCAAGCTGCATCCCGCGGGGAACAGGGCCTGGATTCAAAGCCGGGCTTCTGCTCGCCCCACGCTCCGGGAACGCTGGAATTCTCTTTATTAAACATCAAACCCCTGGCCGGCGGGCTCGGCAGCAATTCCACGAATACTAACGCGGCCCCACTCTGGCTCCCCCCATAATTATGCAGCACTGGAGCTGCAAGGCGAGGCCGGAGCCTTTGATTCCGTGGATTTGTGCCAATTTGTGCCATCCAGCAGGTCCGGCCCTCCCGGCCGCACCCCGCCGGCCGCTCGCATTTAAATTTAGAGCCAGGTTTTGCCACTTTGCAAAGGCTCTGCTCTGCGGCGGCTGGTCCCAGGCTGTGCTGGTGGAATTTTATCCAACAATGGCACAAGCGCCGCTGGATGTTGTGTCAGCGCAACAAAGGATGGATTCGGCGGATCGGGGGAGCCCCTCCCAGCCCAGGAAAGTCAAATCCGAGCATTGATTTCCCAGGAAAGGCCTTCCAGGGGGGAAAAGCTGCCCTGAGCAGCTCCAGCAGCATCCAGCAGCAGAACAACCCCGCTCCATCGGCTTCCCGATCCCAGCTCCCTGCAGTGGGACTGGGAAGGATCCCAGTGGGAGCAGGAATGGCGCTGCCATGCCCTTCCCAGTGGGATCAGGAAGGATCCCAGTGGGATTGGGAACAGCCCTGCCATGCCCTTCCCAGTGGGATCGGGAAGGATCCCAATGGGATTGGGAATGGCCCTGCCATGCCCTTCCCAAAGGGATCGGGGATGACCTCACCATGCCCTTCCCAGTGGGCTCAGAAAGGATCCCAGTGAGATTGGGAATGGCCCCCCGCGCCCATCCCGGTGGGATATGGAAGGGACCTGCCACGCCTTTGCCAGAAGCACTGGGAAGGACCCCAATGGGATTGGGAATGGCCCCGCCGTGCCCTTCCCAGTGGGATCTGGAAGGATCCCAGTGGCATTGGGAACAGCCCTGCCATGCCCTTCCCAGTGGGATGTGGAAGGATCCCAATGGGATCAGGAACAGCCCCACCGTGCCCTTCCTGGTGGGATCAGGAACGGCCCCACCGTGCCCTTCCCAGTGGGATCTGGAAGGATCCCAGTGGGATCAGGAACAGCCCCACCATGCCCTTGTGCCCCTCCCGCTGCCGGACACTTCCACGCCTGCCGTGAGCCCCAGGTGGGTGCCAGCCCCGGGCCATGGCGGGTTTGTGCCAGGGGATGGCACGGAGCCCTCGCAGCACCCGGCGTGCCCGCTGCTGACACAGAATTCCCATTCCCCGCACGTCCAGCCCGGGCTGCAGCTCCGCATTCCTCAGACTCGGAATGCTCCGAGGGCAGGAATGTGAAACCAGACTTCCCAAAACTCCGGGGCAGCTCAGGGCAGGTGCCCGGCTGGGACGGCCAAGAATTCCTCAAGGAAACTCCCAAAATTCACAGTGCCCGCTCCCTCCCACCCACCAGACCGGAATATTTGCTCCCAGTGGATAAGGAGCCAGGCCGGGAAGGGGACAGGTGACAGAAGCAGAGGTGGCATTAAGGGATTTTCACCCAAACCCCAAACCTAAATCGCAGCTCCACATGCCGCTCCTGGTTCCCGGGGCACTCCCACTCAGGGCCACACGGGTGGGGCTGGGGCTGGCAGCAAAAGGGTGCCCAGCAGGAGGAAGCAGCTCTATTTTTGGAGCAGCTGGGAATAGCCACGGAGGTGGCTGGAACACATTTCCCAGCTCACCTCCCAGCCCCTTTTTTGGGATGCGAGATTTTCCCTAAAAAGCACCTTGGACTTAGATTTATTCCGTGCTCGAGCTTAGATTTAGTTTGTACTCAAGCACTCGGATCTAAATTTAGTCTGTCCCATTTAAGGCACCGAGCCTGGCTGCATCACCCACAGAACACCTTCCCAGGCCATTTTCAGCAGCTCTCTCCCCAAATTGGCTGGTGCAGAGCTGGGAGTTTGGTCAGGAATTGGCATCTGGATCCTTTTTCCAGCCACAACTTCCACCAGCCGTGCCCTGCCTGTTGTTTTTGTGTCATGCTCTTGCAACAGGAGGTGCCTGTGATTCACTCCATTTGTTTGGTTTGCTTTTCTTCTTTTTCAATCTGCGCACAGCAAAACATATTTCTTTTTTCTCTTTCATTTTTTTTTTTTTTTCTTCCCCAACCAACATTTTCAGCTCCCAGCATCCCCCAGCCCTGTGAAAAAGGAGAAAATAGCACTGCTGGGAAAGCGAGCAGCTTTCTCCTGGAGATGGTGATGCTCCGAGAGCTTGGTGGGAAAGTGTCCTACAAAGATGTTTCACACCACGGGACCACAAAAAACTCAAGAGATGCTGTCACCGAGGAGAAAAGCTGCTGCTGGCACCAGAAATCCTTTTCTTGCCACAACAGGAGGAGATGAAGGCCTTAAGGATCATCTCATCCATGCCTTGCCATGGGCAGGGACACCTCCCACTCCAAACCCCGGCGTCCAACCTGGCCGTGGGCACGGCCAGGGACCCAGGGACAGCCACGAATTCCATCCCAGCACCCCATCCACCCCTGCCTCTGGCAGAGGGAGCCATTCCCTGTGTCCTGTGCCTCCAGCCCTGACCCCAAGCCCCTGTGCAGCTCTTTCCAGAAGGTTCCGGGGGGAGCCAGCCCCGCTGCGCAGGGCCCGGGGAGCTCCCCGCCAGCGCTGCTGACACAGCTCTCCCTGCAAGGAGGCAGCCAAGCCCGGCAAAGCCCAGGAGCTGTTCCAGGCAGCCCAGGCGATTCCCAGAACTGCCAATCCAAGGGCTCGCTGTGTTCCAGGGCGGGCTGGAGCCAGCTCACCCCGCCGAGGCAGCCAAGGGTCAAGGGTATAATCCTGCTTGCCTTCCCTCGGGGACCCCCTTCTCTCTGCTGCCTGCGGCTTACAGCTCACCTGCTAATCAGCTGGGAATAATTAACCAGCCGGAGCCCAGCCCACCCCGCTGGTGGGATGAGAGTTTTGCCCGGATCTCTGCACGTGTGGCTGAGCAGGGATGAATTCCTGAGCGTGGCAGCAGCTCCAGCGCAGCCCGCGCTGCAAAGGCCGCGGGGCTGCAGCAGCCCCAGCCCGCCGCAGGCTCCGTGCCACGCTCAGCGTTTTGCGATGCTCGGTGACTTTCCGGTCAGGAGACAGCCGGGCTGGGCTGTCCCCTCCGCTGTCACCCTCGCCTGGCGCTGGGACACGCGGAAAGCTCCGTGTGGGATGCGGCTGCGCCTTTCGCAAAGCACAGGCCAGGCGGGCAGGGGGAAATCCAGGGAGGCAGGGCAGGATGGGGAGGGGAGGGATGATGGGGAGGGGAGGGAAGGGATGATGGGGAGGGGAGGGAAGGGATGATGGGGAGGGGAAGGATAATGGGGACACTCAGCGAGCTCAGCCCGCAGGAACCCGGAGCCCTCCGCAGGACACGGGGGAGGGCAGCGGCCGGGGCCACCCGCGGATCAGCCACCAAAGAGAACGGGGCAAAGGCCCTGCCAGCAAAAATGACTGGAGCAGTGATGTGGAGCTGATCTTTGAGAGGAGGGAGCCCTGCAGAGCCAGGAGCGCCCGGCAGTGACCAGCTGCCCACGGTGACCTGGAGCCGGCCGCCCGTGCGGGCTGCGGGGACCACGGAGCGGCGGAGCCCGGAGCTCCGAAACGCTGGGAATTGTTGATGCAGGAGCTGCGAGCAGCAGGACAGGCCCGCGCTGCTCCTTTGTCTGCAGGTGCCAGCTCAGGGCTGTGTCACCTCGGCCTGGCTACGTTTTGTCCCAGTTCCCCACGTCCCCTCAGCTATTTCTTACCGGGACTGGGGGCAAAAGCAGCGGCAGCTGCAGAGAGGGCAGGGACTGGTGGAGCCAGGCAGGCTCCAGATGTCACCAGACCGGTGGAATTGGAGCCTTTCGGTGTCAGACTCCCCGGGCACGGTGCTGGTGAGGGGAGCGAGGCCGAGGGATGGAAAAGCAGCTGCAGGCAGGGAGGGATCGCTCCTGCGGACAGCCCGGCCCTGCCCAGCCCCAGCCATCCGCACCCTCGCCCTGCTCAGGGCTGGAGCCTTTGCATCACCTGCTGCCTGTGCGGGGCCGTGGCGCGGAAGAAATTTAATTAGGAGAGAGCTGCCAGCTCCCGCAGAGGCCAGGGCCAGCCCTGCACCACTGCAAAGGCAGCAGCGGGCCCGGAACGCCGCTCCCCAGCGCCGGGAACGGGGGGCCGAGCTGGAAAGCAGCGCTGCGAGCTGCAAATGAACGCTCCGAGCTGGAAATCAGCCCTGCGGCTCCATCCCCCCCCGGCTCGGGGCTCGGGGCTCGGGGCGGCTGCAGCCACGTGCTGAGCCCCGAACGCTGAACACGCCGAGCTCTCAGCAGCCCGGGCCACCCCGGGGAAGTTCAGGGGGCCACAGCAGCCCCTCAGCCTCCTCCTCCTCGCTCACCCACTGCCCTGCTTCGGGAGGGTGGAGGTGACGGCAAGGAGATGTGAAATGGGACGCGGCTCGTTCGCATCCCTCCCTGACTGCGGTACCGCTTAGCCCGGGACCGTGTCAAAATCAATACAGGCACGAACAAGCGCAGAGACAGGAGCGGCGCGGTGGGTTTCGGTGCCAGGTGCTCGCAGCCTTCGGTGCCACCCAGACACAGGTGAGGGACGAGCGGCAGCACTGCGCAGGGCCACAAAGGTGGGGCTCGGCCACTCCATCCCTCCCCGGCGCTCCATTTCCAGCCACGCCGAACGGCACCGGGGGGAACAGCGGCTCCCGTCCCCCTTTTCCCGCAGCCGCCGCGGTGACGCCATGGAGGAGCAGCCCCCCCTGCCCTGCGCGCCGCCACCTCTCCCCTTTGTGTGACAAGGTGACAGCAGAGGCCAGCCCCGAGCCGCGCACACGGCCAGCACCCCCCGTGCCCGCTCCGGAGCCCGCGGAAGGGCACGCGAATGCCAGCGGAGGAGAACAGATGGCACGGAACGAAGCGGGGGAAATGGGCGTTCTCGGAAGTTGCCAGGGAATGGGGAGCAACAGAGGAGCCCTTGTGCTGCAGAGCCCGCCCGGCAAAGGCAACGGGGTCTTTGTTCCAGCCAGCCTGGAGGGGATTCATCCCAAAACTCGGGATGAAACCAGCGCCGACACACCAGGCTCGCAGCCTTCAAAACGTTTCTTTGTTCGGGCTCGCCCGGATCCAATCCGGTTACAAAGTCCTTACGTGCCGTTTGTAAATTTTTTCCCCGAGACCAGCGGTCCTCGGCAAATATTTACTCCCCAAAGTCGTCTGCACCAAGCAGAGCAGATAAATAAGTGCATTAACTATGTAAATACACACTTCTCCTTTCCGGAGAGCTGCAAGTTAGGCAATGTGTCAAAAGCTTTTTGACAGCCTTTAATATACCCAGCAGGTAAGGGAGAAAAAGCGCTTTTTACAGCCTTTAATGTCCCCAGCTCGTAGGAAAATGCTTTTAAGACGTTTAAAAAAAGAAAATAAAAGAAAAGATAGAACGGTCTAACAATCCAATTAAAAGCCAGCAGCCTCAGGCGTTCAGGGAGAGCCAAAAGCCTCCCCGAGGACACAAAAGAAATAAAAATAGCCCGAGTGCTCCAAGGACGAGCCGCAGGTAGGAAGAAGCCGGCGCGGGGAGCGGGCGCATGCCGAGGGACTCACCTTGGGGAGCCGCGATGATCCTGGGGTTCACCTTGGGGCGCCCCGCCGCCCACACGCCCAGCTGGCCGAGCCACAGGGCCACCAGGAGGGCAAGAGGCGACCTCCCCCTGCCCATGCCTAGTCCGGGAGCGAGCCGGGACCGGCAGCCGGGCGGGCGGACAGCCGCATCTCCCCGCTCACAAAAGGCTGCGAGCCAATGACGCGGGGAGGGCGGTCTCGGAAAAGACCGAGTGGAACACTCCCACGTACCTGCGCTCCGGCGCAAGCTTTTACGGGGGGTTTTGAGGGTCGTTTTTTGGGGTTTTCCTCCTTCCCCTCGGCGAGGGGGAGGCGCGGGGGTCGGTGGCTTTGTCGCCCGCGGGTGCTGGGAGAAGCCGCAGCTGGGCAGAGGTTTGCGAAGAACTTCCCGCGGGGGCTGGGGAGGGGAAATAAAGGTTGGGACGAGTGAGACGGCAGCGAAAATGGGGCCGAGAATAGGGGCAGAGAGGCGGCGGTGTGACACGGGGCTCTGCCCCGAGCCAGGTGTGGCACAGCTGGATGGCGGAGCGGCACAGCTGGATCCGGGAGGAGCGGGATGCAGCAGGGCCAGCAGCGAAGGGCCACTCCCAGGGACACCCGAGTGTCACCGCGGTCCCCCCGCGCTGTCACACCCCTTCTCCCGAGCGTGGCAGGGAACGACATCCCCGAGCAGGAAGGCGAGCCCTGCCCGAGCATCCCGACCCTTTGCGACGCGGCCGCTCCCCCCAAAAAGGACACCCCGCGGGTGGCACGGTCACCTTTTTGCCGCAAAGGTCCCCCCGGGGGAGGCTCAGGAGCCTTTGTGGCTCTGGTTACCGTGAGGAGCGGGGCATTCCGAGCACGGAGAGCGAGCGGGGACGTGAGCGGAATGGGAGAAAGCCACCGGGAAGGAGCCGCAGCTGCGCCCTTGGAAAGCGGCGCTGGAAGCTCAGCGCCGGCCCCGCGCCGCTCCCGAGGGACGAGCGGAGCCGGGGCAAGGGGGGCACGCTGAAAGGAGCGAAAATCAATTAATGAGCCGCCTAATGGTGGGCTTGAAGGAGCCACAGGGATTTCCCGGCGTTTCTTTGTGTGCGTGTGGGTTCAGCTTTCTTTGGCCGCGCAGCTGCCGGGGTAATTACAGGGGTAATTACGGGGGTAATCACAGGGGGAAAGGCACAGCTCGCTTCTGGCCCTGGTGGTTCCCGGCCCTGAAGCGCTCTGAGCTCAGCCCGAACTGCCCCGGGGGCAGCTGCAGTTCCCTGTCTGCTCCCCGAGCTGCCAGACCCCGTTATCCCTTGGTTTCCAGCAGGAAAAAAAGGAGTTTTCTTGGCCGAAAACACCCCAGGAAAAAAGGAGTTTTCTTCCCCAGAAACACTCCTGAAAAATGAGGTTTTTTCACCAAAAACACTCCTGAAAAAGGAATTTTCAAGACTCAAGCTCCCTCAGGATTTGAGGAGCGTTTGTAGGATCCCAGAAGGGTTTGGGCTGGAAGGGACCGTGGTGCTCAACACCTCCCGGTGTCCCAGGGTGCTCCAAGCCCATCGTGGAGCACTTCCAGCTGCACTTCCAGCCTGACAGGGAAGGGTGGCAGCAGCCAGGGGGGAGCCTGGCTCCCAGAACCGTGAGATCATTGCCTGGGAAAGCGATTCCAGGAGATGGGCAGGACGTGGGGAACACAAGCCGCAGGAAAACCCAAACCTCCGGAGCAGCACAGCTCCCCAGAGCCCGCTCCCAGCCTGGCCCCGTTAGGTGCAGGAGGTGTTGGAAGGAAGAACACGCTTCCCCAAAGCAGGGAAGGAGCTCCCAGATTGAGTTTGGGAGCTCAGGAGCAGGCAGCATCAGATTGCAGGCAGCAGCTCAGCCCCCCTTCCTGCAGAAATTTCCATCTGCTCCACTGCGGGATCAGAACTTCCCCAGCACAACTCGTGAGCAGCTTTCTCCCAGATCATGCGCCTCGCTTCCAGCACGGATCAGGAGGCAGCCTCCCCCAGGAATCTTGTCAGAAGCACAGATTTTTATTTTTTTTTTCCCCCAAGAGGAACGGTTTTATTCATCATGTTTGTGGCCCAGGCAACCCAGAGAGCTCAGATTGCACTTGGCACCCGAGCAGGCATGTGGTGATTTTATCCACAAAACCAGATCTGTTACCTTCCCTCGGCCGGGAATGTGACCCTTGGAAGCACCACAGACCTTCCACGGAAAGAAAAAAGGAACAACAAGAGAAATCTCAGCCCTGGCTAGGCCAGGCAGGACCTCTGCTGTGCCACAGAGCGGGTGTGACACTGCCAGAGGGACCCTGCTGAGCTGCACAAAGGATGAGGAGGGTCCTCATTCCCACCTTTTCACCACCCCTTCCCACACAAAACTGGGATCAGCTGGACAAAGGGTGAGGATGTTCCTCATCCCCTTTTCCACTAGGATCAGCTGGACAAAGGATGAGGATGTTCCTCATTTTCCTTTTCCATTGATCAGCTGGACAAAG